TGTGAGACAAGGAAGTCACCGGGAGAATGAGCAAATCCATGTGTGATGTCCTGAGGAGATGCCCATGGTATGCTCCTAGGGCCATGACCAGGAAGCTGCAAACTTTGTGTCTGCTTTAAGTTTTTGCATATGACTAGAAAAAGGGTGAAGTACACGCACCTTGCTGGTGTTCTCATGTTACCCTGGGATGTCATGGAAAGAGGGCATGAAGGATATTTCTATTTCACATGTGGCTGTGGTGCAAAATTTGAAACGAGTGTGTATATATCAGCTTTTACTAAATCTTTCCCTCGAGTAACTGTTGTCTGTGATCCAGGCAGCTAGGCCGGGAGAAAGAAACCAGGAGGTTCCTGCCAGGGATTTAGCTCAGTGGTTCCGCCACCTGTCTAGCAAGCACAAGTTCCCAAGTTCGATCCCCGGTACCAAAAAAAAAAGAAAGAAACCAGGAGGCTCCTTGCCCAGGGCAGACTTGTAGTGGGGACCCAGAATGCGGGACTGGCCTTGTCCGCCTGTGTTTGGGCCTCCTGGGGACCTGGAGCAGGTCTCAGAACCACTGCGGGTGGCTTCCCTCTGCCGTGTGCCCCCTCTGAGCACCATCTCTGGGCCGCTCCCTCTGGGGTCCCCTCCCTGGTGAGGCCATGACCCACCCTCAGCAGAATCCTCTTCCTGGTCACAGCGAAGTCCCCAGGAGCTGCAGCCCACGAGCGGCCGCTGGAGAGGTGCAGAGCAGACATGGCTGCCGTGTGCAGGACAATCCTGTGAGGATCCAGAGCAGTCTCGGCAGCTTGCTCGGCAGTTAGGGTTCCCTCAGTGACTGGGAAGGGCTGGGGGGATGTGTGTGAGGGAGGGGTGCACGGTGTGTGCACGTGCGAATGCACATGTGTGTGCTTGGGTGTGTTTGGCCTGGAGCTTCAAGTAAATAACTTCTAATCATCAATTTCATTTTTATTTCTAATTGTACGAATGGCTCCAGGTGAAAGTGACTGAGATCAGAGGGCAGGGATGCAACGTCCAACCACGAAGCCTGGAGAATGTATTATGTGCCTTTTAAAATAGAAAGTCATTTGTGCCCATTGCAGGCTGAGGAAAATGCAGTGGGAAACAGAAAAGAACCTGCCGACCGAGGCGCACGAGCACATTTCCTGTCCCTGGGTGCTTCACAGGAAGTGACTCTTCTCGGCCATACAGTTCATTTTGAGGACAGAGCGCACTCCGACCTCTGGGATGAGCAGGTTGGCTGGTGGGGTTCTGGTGTGAAAAGCCATGTGCGCGGGAAGCTATGCACCATGCTCGAGGCACAGCTGCCACCCGTGAACACATTCATGTGGCACAGGCCCTGCCCCCGGCTCTGCATCTAAACCTAGTGCCAGCAGAGCCTACAGGAAGAGCGGCTGGACACATAACCTCCCTCCTGCTCCGTCTGGGTGTAGAAAGTGAATAACCACATGCTTGCTTTTGTGCGTTAGTTTTAATTAGTTGTGAGGAAGACAGGGTTATTCTTTTAGTTCGCACAACAAGCTACATGGCTGTGTTAATGACGTGAAGTGAGACAACTATTCCTATTGTGTCAGCCCCTCATCTAAAATTCCTCATCTCGGAGGAATCAGTTTGCAGAGCCCTTTCAGTGGAGAAGAGGCTGTGTCTGGGGCCCAGGCAGATGGGCCAACTCCTGGAGGCTCGCACTTAACCAGGGAAGGTGGGGACCGAGCTGGGATGCCGTCTTCCTCCTGTGGAGCTGGACCGGGGATGCCGTCTTTCTCCTGGAAAGGAAATGCGTGAGATGAAGAGAAGCGGTTGTTGACAAGAGCTTCTGCTGCTCCAAACTCAAGCCCATTTTAGCTGGTTTGGAGAAATGGCGCCTGAGGTATCCGGGGTCCTGGGCAGGGACCTCTGTGGAGCAGCACAGGCCCTGTGACACATGCACACCTGTTCCATTCCTCTTTGGGTGGAAGCCAGGGTGGGAGGTAGACACGTGTAGGGACTGGGGGAGTCTCGTTCTGAGCCGGGTCCTCCCTGTATTGCAAAAGCTGCGTGACCCCCTCCCCTCGGCCTCCTGGGTTGCTGGGCCCGAGGCTTGGGGCGCCGCAGCAGCAGCCTCTTCTTTCTCTCTTTCTTCTTTCTTTCTCTCTTTCTCTCTTTCTTTCTTCTTTCCTTTTTTCTTTCTTTCTAAATACATAGTGTATTTTATTTAATTTTTTTGAGTTTATTGCTACATTTATGTACACAGTACAGTTACATTCATCATTGGGATCTTGTACCTGTGCGTGATGGATCCTGGTTCTTATTTTCCCCCTTCCCCTGCCCTCCCTTCACCCCCTCCACCCTTCCCTGTTTGCAAAGACTTTGTTTCCATGTTTTTCCTTTTCTCATATTTTTTCCTTTCCCTTCTTTCCTTTCCCTTCTCCTCCCATTTCCCCTGCTCCTTTAGACCTTTTCTGCCTATTTCACAATATCAATTATACGTTTTGATTCTTATTTACACTTTCAGTTTTTCACACCAGAGAAACTATTTGGTATTTACACGTGTGTGTGCTATTTATTTCATGTAAGAGTACGGCCTTAATTTCCATCCATTTAGCTATAAATGTCTCTAGTTTCTCGTTCTTTATGGGGAGTAGTACTCCATTTTATATATATTAAAAAAAACCCCACATCTTCTTTATCCAGTTTCCAGTTGATGAATAACTGGGCTGTTTCCAAGTTTTAACTATTACAAACTGTGTCGCTATGAACATGGGCACACATATATTGCTGTGGTACGATTCTTTTAATTCATGTAGGGAAGATACCCAGCAGGGGAAT